CATTTAAATCATTTAAAGCATTAGGAGATGAGGCAAATATCGTTTAAGGACAACGTTGACCACGTGTTCAAGTCTTGTTATTCCAATCCAAATTTTGGTTTTTCCATCTTCAACCCTTTTTCTCTTCATTGTTGCAATATTTCCAACAAGAACTTCTCTCATAGGTAGGAGACATAGTTGCTCACCATCACAACTCTTGGTTTCAATGACTTAGAGGTCATCTTTTGCCTTAGCACGTCCAAACTTCCTCCTTGTGACTCCATCTTGAAAATTACAATGCCACAAAATGTATAACTTGAAGTACCGGAAGAATAATATTGAAACCGATAGTTCATTAAATTGTTGAATACCGAAATAATATTAACTGTCAATATAAAAGAACGTGTTCACCATTGTCATCTCCATTCACATTCACTTTCTGGACATCATATAATTGATATAAGAAAATCATTCAAAAATCATATAATGGAGGAAATGTTAGAGGTGGAGAAGTGAAGGGCCCATTAACCAAACCCATAGCTATATGTCGGTAGGCACTTTCAGTTAAATGGATACCATCCCAATTTGCATAAGTTGATGGATCCAAACAGGCTCTTGATCCAGGATACCCACACCTCGCTGAATTGTTGAAATTGTATGGCCCACCCCCTCCGCAACAATCCACTAGAGCCCCTTTGGAAAATCCTGCACAGGTTGTGTATTTTCATTATTATATTTCTTTTTTAAAAATGGTTGAAAAATCGAATTATATTTTTCCTCAAAAAATGCTATTTAGTACCGGTTTAAGTGTCAGCTATGCAACGGTGCCAATCTTTCTTAATTATGCAATTTAAATAGTAAAGTGGCAAAGAAAAATAAGTGAGTGAACTTACCATAATGCTTGGGGGAGTGGAAAAATCTCTCGGCAGCACCGTAATAATCAGTGTAAATAATTTTTGCATGGGGGTATTTTTGTCTTAATGTCTCCAGGGCAAGTTTGAGCTGAGAATTGTGGTACTCGGAGTAAGCATTATATGCTTTTAAGCAGCCATTTTGATCATAAGCTGATTTATTTGGTGTTCTAAACAAGGTTAGATACGCTGCAATGCAACCAATTGGCAAGTTTCCTGGTGCTATTAATTCTACTGCTCCTCCTTCTATCAACATCTCAAGGTTAGAACAATAAAATCGCAGTAAAAAAAAAGGAATAAAAGAAGACGCAAGATTTATAGATATTCATCTCAATGTGAAACTACGTCCTCGTCCATTGTTTCAGTAATTCGACAAAAAAGGAAATTTATGAGAGAAAATCACACACCTTACATTTTATAATATCTCTCTCTCTCTCTTTCTCTCTTTTTTCATTTTTACCTGTGTGTTGTTTGCTTTTGTGTACGTACGTGCCCTTAAATAGGCAACAATTCATAATTGTTTAATTTGCAGCAATCTTTGGCTGAGGTGATAAATATAATCATGCAATATCTGTATAAAAAAATGTCACTAGTCATGATCTAGACAAGTGGATGAGAACCCTATTAATTGTTAAGAGATAAAATCTCACGTCGAATAAAAACGAAAATATAGAGCAATTTATAAGAGTTTTTGCTACTCCTCTTAGTAAGGTTGACCTTTTAAGATGGAATTTCAAATCTTAACTTGGTATCACGGCTTGTTAAACTCCAACGAGCAATTTGATCTGATTAAGACTCAAAATTGAGCACACGAATTTCAAGATTTGTATATTGAAATGAGTCACTAGGTTGAGGGGGCTCTTTCTCTTAATAAGGTTAACATTTTAAGATATAACTTCAAATCTTAACATTTTCTAGGGTCTATGTTGAAAAATCTATTATTTTTACTTTAATTGGACAACAAATTTTGCTAAGATGGATTTCTCCGACTTGCTAAGTGTAATCTCAAACCTATTTCACTAAAATGATGTTACTTTTACAAAAAAAAATGGTGCTACTTTCTCGCCATTTTATTTAGTTATCTCAAATCCATTGCACCAAATGTTACATCAAATGTATAGTGTTTTCTTTATTTCTTTATTTTTTAATTATCAACAATTAATTGTTTTCAAATATTATTTAATTACAAATTCTATTACCACTAACATTACTAAATTAAAAATTACATTTAACATCATAATGTGAAAAATACATATAATAAAAAACTTTCACTAAAGAAACATAGCCCTTGTTTGGGGGAAAATGTATTTTTGAATAGTGATTTTTTGGAGAATGTATGGTTAAAGAAAAAATTTTCAATCTAAGTGTAAAATTATTTTATTGAAAAACGAGTGGTTAAAAATGAGGTTTGAAAAAATGGGGCTCAAACAAGGGCATAAATTACAACTAATTTCATCATTTAACTTCTTAATTACAATTTATAATAAATGTTAATAAAAATAATAATGAAATTCAAATAAATATAAATTAAATTAAATTATTAAATAATAAAAGGATATAATAAAAATTAAAATTTGTTATAGTATAGAAAATGAGAAATAAGAAAAACTCTATATATGAACAGAGTTCACGTCGATTTGATGTCAAGATGTGAAGTTTGTTTGGAGGAGATTTTCATACCAATTTTACGTTTACACCAAATTAATGTAAGGTTGGAGTTGAAATTTAAACATTATAAGGGTTTGAGAAATGTTTCTATTTTTCAATAAGAATTCTTCTTTAATATCATAAAGTTTAATATTTTATATATTAAGAATTTCTATAATGGAAAAATGTTTAACAATTTGTAACAAGAATAGTCGAATCTGTAAAAAATCAATCAGCTTGGGCTGAGCCAGCTTTTACGTAGGTTCAGATTTAATTTACCCAATTGTTGATCAGGACCACGAAGTGGGCATTTGAATTAAACAAATATGTAATTAATCAATGGTCATTAAATCCACAGCTTTTGAAAATATAACTAAGTTCCATAACCAAAATTTCTAAATTCTTGATGCAATTCACAATACTAAGTTCAATTACATAAGTATTGCTTACATCCAAAATCAAAACAATAACTCTCATTCATGCAAACAAAAAAGTTCCATTTTCATACAAGATATTGTCTAATAAATATCATTTCCAAATAAACAAATTAATATAATTAATTAAAAAAATAGTTCGATTATAAAGGTTCTATGTTCTCGATTCTGGGTTCTATAATCGGAACTGAACTAAGAACCGATCGATTCTTCGTTCCAGGAAGTAGAAACGTTTCAAATTTATGTCGAACCGAACATGACGATTATAATGTTAGAAAAATGGATTTTATTAGTTGGTTTAACCAACTCTTGACCAATTATTTTAGTGGAACACGTTAATTGGACAAAATATTTCTTTGATCGAGTGTTTTCTACTCCATAAGTAGATTAATGTAATTTATTTATTTTCTCAAAACCAATTTAGGGTGAATGAAAAATTAATGCCAAAAGATGACCACTTGAAGTTGAAATAAATTGGAATAAAAATTGGTGGAAAATTGAAAATGTGTCAATCCTACATACGAAAGTTAGAAGAATATAAACCACTTTATATTGATCAAGTTTGAGACATGGGTTTGGGTCCCAAACTGTACCAATAGTCTTTGAATGGGAGAAAATCTACATGCTAGTAGGTTGGGCCAAAGCCCACACGGGTGCGCTGTCGCCACCGTCCGATCGGCCGGCACGGCACGACACGAGTCGTGAGCTTGAATTTTGACTTAGACTTGGACTTGGGTCAAGATGATATATATTTTTTAGTAAAATAATATTTAATTTATAATATTTTATTATTATTTAATTTATATTATTTTTTTCTCCGATTTTTCTGTGCGTGACGCGTGGATTAGGTTTAGGCATTGGTAAGGGTTCTTAGATATCTACTATACACCTCAAATATTTGATTGCATTATACTGATATCCAACTGTATTAGAAGGATACAGTGATGCCAATTAGATATCAGATACAAAACTCAAAATCACTAGTGGGTATGTTTTTACTATTGGTTGTGCGGCCGTATCTTGGAAATCCTCTAAAAAAACATGTATAACTCAAAATCACTAGTGGGTATGTTTTTACTATTTCATGTTGGCTTAAACTTGTGCCTGCAATTAGTATACATTGTGATAGTCAGTTGGCTATCGATAGAGCATAAAGTAATATGTATATTGGTAAGTCTCGACATATTCGTCGAATACATAATACAATTAAGCAGTTGATCTCAAATGGTGTTATTTCTATAGATTGTGTAAAGTTTAGAAAAAATCTCGCGATCCGCTTACCAAAGGCATACCAAGATATCAAGTATACTGCCTATCAAGGGGAATGTGTTCAAAGCCTACTACGCAAGAAATCTTTGTCATGGTAACCAAACCTTGTTGATTGGAGATCCCAAAATTTTGGTTCAATGTAACAACTAAGTTAAAATTCAAAGAAGCACTTCAGAATTAACCTATACCCATTCTTACGATAAGAATGTGCTCTCTGCAGAAAGTTTTAGGTTAAATTATACTTTTAATGATTCATATATCTTAAACTATTTAAGTGGGGTATGATAGGTATTCTTAATAGGAGATTACCTATATAAGTGTGACGTATGGCTATTTCTATGAGAATGTTTCAAAGACTTAAATTCTCTAAATTACTTATGAAATCCAAGAGTTGTTCAAGACCAAAATGAACACAACAGTGAGAACTCGAAAATATTCAAGACACCGCGTTCAATGATTAGCCAAGTTCCATTTTCATACAAGATATTGTCTAATAAATATCATTTCCAAATAAACAAATTAATATAATTAATTAAAAAATAGTTGGATTATAAAGGTTCTATGTTCTCGATTCTGGGTCCCCATTCTTCTACCACCTTGTCTATGATGGTGGTGGGGTCGGCGCCGACCCTCTGGGATGATTGTGACTAGAACCTCATCCTCACTTTCCCTAATGCACCTAGGAGGGACGTCTCCATCCGACCTTATCTTTGGCAAGCCTAAAACTCAAATATTTTCCAACGCGGGGGGCTTCCTCTTATTCTTTTTTTAAGAACAAATCCTCTTTCAAAGGGGATGCCCAAATTCTTTTAAGAAAGCTTTATCCACGAGATTGCTCGTGGTTATAGTGTGGCTTCCCACAAACGATGCCAATCTGTTGACCTCAAAAAATGAACTCAATAGATGTCGAACCCACTCGTGCATACGTAGGCCATATCCAGCACGTTAAAACAAATCTATGGTCGAGATCGCTCCAATGATTGGACGCGGGAGAAAACTCAATGACATGAGAAGTTTCCGTTCGAGCTCCGACAGGATTTATGGAACAAGATTGTATAATGATCAATTGATAATAACAAGATTTGTAGTTGTAATAAACTGATAAGAGAATAATATAGGTTGTTTTAAGTATTTAAAGTTTTATTAGTCTCCAATTATTACATGGTGGGAGGTATTTATAATGTTACAAAAGAAATGGTGACCCTTGGATCACATTATACGTGGCCTCATCTTCTCAGTCGAAACATCAGATCCTAGCTATCATATTGACTTTCCTAACTTTACAAAACATTAATTGCCCTTACATTGATCACACAAGACACAAATACACTTTTCACACAGGTCACATCAATCATTCGAATAAAAATATTCATCATAAGTAGAGGTTTCAATTCGGGTGGTCCGAGCTAGGTCGGCCCGTCAACATATGAGTCCGGTAACGGCCGGGGTAAAAAAGCCCGCCCGCTCGAATTCCGGGCTGATCCTGGGTTGACTTACAAATTTTGAACTAGGCCCGTCGGCTGCCTCATCCGAGTCGAGCCATGCGGGTCACAGGTCGTGGTTTGTTCCAATTTGGCTCGTATTATTATATAAATAAAATTATATAAATATAGAATTTTTCATATTTATAGCAAAAAATAATTGTTTTGTTAAATGTAAATTAAGAATTGAATAAAATGATAAATTCATATTTATACTAAAAAATGTTTACATAGAATTCAAATTTAATGTTACATGAATTATTTATAACTTTGCAAAGTTAAATTTAACTTAAACAAATAACAACTAAATGCATTTCTATTACTATTATCAAATATTTATAATATAAGTATATCCCAACTAGGTTGGCACCTACTTTTATTATAATTTATAGTTGAAGTACATCCCAACTGCTCTCTTTCTCCATTTTTTTCAAATTTTTAAATTTTTTTTTTGCAGGGCAGCGTGTTAACCTCGGCCCGTGAATGTGCAACTAGCGAAGCCCGCGGGTCACACTTCCTTGACCCGTGAACCGTCCACTCGGGTCACGGGTCAGCCTGCGGTCCCGGGTCGATCCGGGCCGATTTTCACGGGTCAGGTCGGCCCGTCCGTCTTAACCCCTCTAATCATGAGCAAATCCTTGCACGTGGGCCGTCACGAGCTGGGAGCCTGCAACTGGGCCTCTGCTGATAATATGGCCTCGAATTCAGGAGGTGCCTTAG